AATAACCTCTCCTAATTTTTTTCTAAAAGAAGGAATAAGTCTTGAAAAATCTGTGTCTCAAATTTGGTGGAGATTGGCAAGCAAAAATTAAGGTTTGTGGCTAATTTTATTAATAGAATTTCAACATTGATCACCAGAAAATTTCAGAAAATACACTTCCCAATCATTTAATGTGACACATCATTCTGGGGTATTCGATATAAGTTGATTAACAAATCTAATTAATGTCATAATGTAAATACATATATGCAGATTTTTTTATGGTACCTCTTTTTTTCTCTAAAAAAGGAAACTGTAACAAAATATATTTTCAAATATGTTATTACATTATTAGTATTAGTATTATGAACTTTCAATTGCTAAGGCTTTTGGAAAATCATTACATTTATAAAATTATTAGAGGTTTTTAATCAGGATACATTTGTAGAACAGTGCTATTGAGAGAGAATTTTAATTTCATACAAATTTTTCAGAAGTTGCAATAGATAGAAGTATTATGATAAAGAAGAAATTTTCTGTATTTTGAATGAGCTTTTTTATGCCAATGGTATTTTTACATCCGTCAAATCTTTCCAAAGCTCTTATCTATATTACATATACTATCTTGCACACTAATTTGGTGTCCATATCTTTGAAAACAGACAAGGAGTAGTGGTTTGAAAACAGCATGTTTTATTAGCATTTTATTAGTATTATGAACTTTCAATTACTAAGGCTTCTGGAAAATCATTACATTTATAAAATTATTAGAGGTTTTTAATTAGGATACATTTGTAGAACAGTGCTATGGAGAGAGAATTTTAATTCATACAATTTTTTCGGAAGTTGCAATATATAGAAGTATTATGATAAAGAAGAAAATTTCTGTATTTTGAATGAGCTTTTTTATGCCATTAATATTTTTACATCCATTAAACTTTCCATAGCTCTAATCTATATTACATATACTATCTTGCATGCTAATTTGCTGTTCATATCTTTGAAAACAGACAAGGAGTAGTGGTTTGAAAACAGCATGTTTTATTAGCGTTTTATTAGTATTATGAACTTTCAATCACTAAGGCTTCTGGA